AGCACTGAAATGAGAATTGCGCGAAGAGAGGATGAACGAAGTGACGACGAATGAGAGGAGAGAGCGATAAGTGCCATAAACAATCTCAAGGCAATTGAAATAAAGCAAAATAAGCAAACAATATAAACGCAATCAACCAAATCCACAAAAAATCATCAAATTAAAGCAATCAACAATACCAACAATTAAAACTGTCACACTATAAAACGAAACGAACGTACCGGAACGATGCACATACTGTTAGTCGTCTATGATTATATATCAAAAATGAGACAATATTCCGGGATGGATACCTCGAAAAAGAACAAATTTGTACAATCAACCATATCACCACCATTACACAACGCATAAAATATTTTGATGAAGTGATTTCGGGAATATTTGTTATGCTATCAGATGCCCGTCATTTATTGCAACAAATTCACAACTCTGCTAGCATATACTCACCCTTTTAAGTTCCTTGCTCAGCAGAGATTTTAATATTCTGTAAACGAATCACTATAAACTTTTGCGATATGATACTCACGAGATACCTGGTTCAAACTTTGCTTTGATGATTTCAGATTCAAACTGCGATCAGCAATATATTTTCAAGTTTTGTTTAAGGAAATGTCCCCATTCACAATCTAACAGTGATAATTCACCTCATCAGATTTCACAAATAAAAATGCGCAAGCATAAACACATATCATCACCAAATATACATCAGAGAAAGCATCAGAAATCGAAGCATTCAACTGTAACGCTATTGATCAAAGAGCGATAATGCTAAGATAATCTTCCATAAACGAATCGAGATAATCAGTCATTCAATAAAGTACATTCTATCAACGGAAACACAACTAGAGTATTGATAATACGTGCTACACTCGACACTCGAACACGTATCGCAATTGATCACAGTAGCTATTGCACATTTGCAATATATAACATACGATAGATATCACATGAACAACCCATTCTCCTATCTCGCGCGCACATTCCACCTCACGCAACATTTTACTCATTCGAACTACAGATGGAACTACTACATTAATTCTATTTAATTTTGACTTCAACAATCGTATCATTTCTTCATGAATTCGCTTCTTATTTCCTATTACATTCGCAAAAGTTCAGTTATATCCTCCTCATGTGATTGTATTTAGTAACTGGGTGGACTCGCTTAAGTTGCTAAATATCCACATCTATTTATATTCAAATCCAAAATTTTCCTTAAATTGACAGTGGATGATCATCACTTCTGTGAATGGAATTCTTACAACGTTTAGGAACAAATGAAAAAATTTGCGTGAAAATAATTCAACAATAACAAATAAGGAATGACTGGGAAGGGAATGAGAAAATGCGTTTAATTTACATAATAGGAGGTGCATGAAGAATGGGAAATCTTCTGAATTCCCTCAAAAGAAACTCGACGGTTTGTCCTTGCATAATCATATCAAACGCAAGATGCGAATTACTCTGCACGGTGGTACGCTCCTTTTGCTTCTTATCATTGTGATGTTTCTTCTTGGATGCATTCGAGCCTTTCTTGTTGTCACTATTCGGCTCTATTCCACTACTGAACAATGACGGTCCAAACATTATGGCTAAATTGTGAATTTCCATCCGATTCTTATCCGCGTGATTTGCAACTCTGAAAATTTTTTGTTGCTCTTTTGAAAGATTCGACACGTACGNTTTGAAAGATTCGACACGTACGATATGTTTCTGAACTCATCGAAAATGAAATCACGTTTTTTATAAATTACATCACTCAGTTCTGATTCAATACAAAATGACAATGCTGGTTATCCTACCGATACTGGCAAAGAATTACAAACAGTGCATTAAAAATAAATTAATAACGACAGTAAAAATAATGATAATAATCATAGTAATAATAGCGAATGATCGATCTGTTTACTTCAGTAGATGTCCGAACAACACCTTCAACGTCTCACGATTCACGAGCGGCAACCTTCTCAGCAGTTCATCAAACTTTTTTATTTTATTCTCATCGTTCGGTGACCCTACAATAAAACATTTGTAAAGTAATACATTCAATGACCCCATCACCTATCAAAACGTTACTTTTTCTCTCAAAAACATCTCAGCTATAAAAAGCACTCAATTCGACATCAACAAACTGAGATGGATTCAACGAGATTATGTCATCAATCAGTGATGAAATACAACGCGATCCACGAACTCACTATACAAATAGCCCTAAAAGTAACGTTGTATGCAACCCGTCGAATCAATACAAAAAAAAAACTGATATGAACGAAAATCGAAACAATTCCCCAGGTAAAATGAATCACAAGAAATTTCATAAAATCGCGACGTTGTATCGTGAATTTAAGAACTTGCAAATGAATTTCGAACAAAATCAATGGAGTGGACTAAAGTTTGCAGTAAAAAACGAACTGTTGACGTGGATGAATTCTTTGGCAAGATTAGTTGGGAAGATGGGTTCAGAGAGTTCACGGAAGAATAATTTTAATGCACCCGTCAATACATGCACATCTTCTTCGCGAAACAAAACATTATATTTATCTGAAATTCAGCACAAAAAACGTTACAATGGTTACTCGTTTCAGCGTGTCAATGAACCATTCTATTCAATACATGCAGATCTGGGCAATAATTCTATCGCTCGTAAACCGCTTGGATAACGTGAAATTCAGAAAGCTTAAACATCATTCGATAACTTAAACATCATTTCCCCATTACAAGTTTCGGTCACAATTCGAATGTTTCCCCCAAAACTGGAATGTAATATCAAGAAAGCGAATGCAAAAATCGTACCCTGATCAACATGACATCGTATTTTCTGAATGGCCGACAAGTTGCCACTGACCCGATATAGTCCATCAGTGTCTAAACCTCTCGACTCAATCACCTCGGTGACCAGCTGAATGAATCGCGGTACGGTACGCTGCTCATGGTGGCAAATCGTCTGTAAAGTGCTGCCAAACACCGGTTCGGCTGAAAATCACAAATGAAATACAAAATTCACAATCAATCAATTTTTGCTGTGTACTGATGTGAAAAAAATTCTAACACACCAAAATTTTCGCATGAATATTCTCATACCATTTACGGTGACTATCCAAATATCAACATAATGAATTGTCCGCAAATATTCAAAATCTGCATCAATGTCACGGCTGAATTTCTTAACTATCCTTTGCATAGTTCTGCTCCTGTCACAGACAACAATGCCATTAAACTAACGTCTGTAAATGCCTTTCTCTTTTAAACTGTCAATTGTTGGTCTTGAGCGGAAGAATCGCTTCAACTTCTCGATTATTGACGCTCGAGTTGGTACAGACTCGGTTGCACCAGCTGTTGCACTTGATGCAGCAGCGGCAGCAGCAGCAGCAGCGGCCATCATGCGGCCATCGTCCATGGCTGGTGAGCAACTCAGCATATCTTAAACGAACGATTCGTCGCGTAAACATCACCACCAATTGTCAATTATTTCAACGAGTCAATAAACTGCAACTGCCTCGCGTACAGCAATACCAATGATTGAAGTGTATGCGGTAAAATTGCGCTGCATATTGAACGCATCATCAAAACAGCATCACACAAGCAATCAATGAGTGTCAACCTTTGTTTGGCGATTTCCCCTTTTTGGATGAACTTCTTGCGGGTGCACTACCAAAAGGCAATGAATGCGAGTAAGATAAATTACTTGGACTTCGGCTGACCCCACTGGCTGTATTCATTCTTTCCAGTACTGGCGTTGGATAAGGATCCGGTCGAGGCTTCAATGAGAACATTGCATTATCTTGCAATTCCTCAAGTATCATGTAAAAAATATCGTTAGCAAAACTTCTCTTGTATCATTAACAATTAGTAACCCATAAATAATAATCTACCATTAAAAATTTTGAAAACATATATGCATTGGTCTAAGCATCACGTCGTAAGACGTGAAACGAGAGAATCTCATAAACTGAATCTACTCACTGCATTACGAATCACGACTGATCATTTTCAGTTTGTGATATTCTAATGTAAACGACAACGAATTAGACAAAACGTGAGAAATGAAATTATACTAAAGGAAATATAATCGTTACCAATTTGTAAATAACTGAACGTATCGCATGAAACCATCCGTTAATATCTTGATCCGACGCACTGAACAGATAAACTGTGCCGTCGATCGATTTTAACTGCAACAAAATTACTCTTGAAATAGCACATTCTCAAACTGAGCAATGCATTGTTGGGGAATAAGAATAGATTCATAGGCTGAACTTTTTGCGAAGAACATTTTAAGAAAAAGTCAAACAATGGAACAAAATCAACGCTTCAAAAAATCACGAATTTCCTGGATATTTGAAGCAAAGATATGATAGATAAATGAATTACTTGGATAATGTGATCGTGTTTCTTCCTTTTATCTTTTTCACTGTCCAACCACTGTATTTGTGCACCTCTCAATTCACACATACCCGATGGCGCTTCATAGTGACGACCGCATTTCTAAATTACCAATTTCTGTTCATGATGCTCAGCACAAAAGCGTATGTGCATGCATTGCACATTATTTATTCGTTATGAATAGGCAATCAGTTTTACCTCAGCACTTTTCTCGTCTTTATAAAAGATGATATGTTCAGATGACAGGAATAAATAACAAGACGACCACTCCCTCTTCTTCAGTCGATTACCTGCGTCAGCCACTTGGCACTGAAACATGCACGTGTACGTTGTGAACACGTATTAAATTCGACAACATATAACAATAACGATGTAACGTACATAACACAAATCAAAAATTATATGCAACCAATGAAAATAAATAAAGCTACCTTGTTCAACGTTCCACGTTTTATTGGGTTCTGTGACAATCCAACCGAGGACGATAAGTGTGACATTAGAGCTACTCTATCCACAGCTCTACCATCTTCGGATCTGTTCGACCCGGAACCTGCAAAAGAAAAAAATGGAATTAATGAAATATGGTACCATAAACCTGAGAAATTTTAACGTCGAATTGATAAACTCTTGATTGAAAAATGTTCGCGTGTGTAGCATTATTTAAAAATTGATATGATAGAAATCGTGCACTTGAAGAACGAAACTTATTGTGTATATTAGAACAACTAAGGAACACTTGGGATCAATTGAACGTTCACTTAGTACGAAACTGTTCAAAACTTCAATCGTTCAAAAACAATCAACATGAAAATGCTACTTCATGACAATTCGGAAAAGTGACAGAGCACACTCTCTACCAAGTGAAAGAATCAGCGGAGAGAATTGTACATGGTAGCACCATACTAACAACACTAACGCCTATGTTCAACGCAGAGCGCTGCTAGATAATATCAGTTATTTTGATCAATTCGATGTGTGTTTGTGAAATTGAAGGAGTAAAGATATTTATAATAACGACTGATCGATATTGGCAGATAGCGAACGAGGGATGCAAGAAGGAGGGCGATAGCTTTCGAGTTCTTCTTCTGTTCGATGACATTAATCAAACGTTTGTTTTCATTTCTGTTATTATTACTGTTCGCGTACTGCATCGAAAAGGACAACAATCAACAAGCGAAGACTGATATGGATACTGAATATGAAACAAAATTCGTCTAAAATAAAAGAGACGTAAAAATACCAAAATGCGCACATTCGGCAGCGTACAACTCCTCAATTGATCTGTGTGCATTGGTTCGTTTTGCGATTTCCTTCGCGACCTGTTGAAAGGATAATCGATTTTCGGCAATGCCATCGGCCACCTTATTGCGCACACTGATTGACGTACGCCCAATACCCGAATCAATACTCTCTATCATATCACTCAATGATTTGGCCTAGAATTCATACCTTTTATCATGTAAAAATGTAGGTAACGGTGAACAATACCGTGAGCGAACAAGGCAGAAGTGCAGCAGCCAGCCAACAAAAAACGTTCAACATTATACCGAAAGAATTGCAGAAGATCAAGAAGTGATCATCAAATCAGAACCAAATAATCAACTAACCGGAACAATAGGTGAGACAGGTGCAGAGCACGATGCATCCAAGTCATCCTCTTGTCTGTTAATCACTTCAATAATTGGTACTGTTACATTATCATACTGACCAACTGTGGCCGCACAAGCATCACTGGATGCTGTAAAAACTTGCGAGGATGCTTGCACAAGAGGTGGTTTCACACAACGGGGTGGCTTCCAATGGCTGTCACCAGATTCCACATTATAGAAATATGACCTGAAATAAAATGATGAATGATCGAAGTGAACATCAACATCAGTAAAATATGATATATCAATGGACATATACTATCATATCGGTTGATCAGTTCATTCGATATGATAGGTTATGTCCGGATCAATTGATCAAACGATAATAACCTTCCAGTATCAGTTAGGTATTCAAGCCATCCATCACCGAGGTCACGGATCGGTTGTTCAGTGACATCTGGTATTGGCGGTTCCTCCATTCTTCTGCTTTCCTCTTCCATCTCGCGAACATTCGCATAAATGTGCACATCATCATACAAGCTCACTGCCGTTTCTAAAGTCCTTCTTCTAGACACCGCTTCCACTTCTTCATCGCTCTTATTCAGCATCTGCAGTTTTCACTAGTACCACTAGCATTATCATATACAATTCCTCATCAATGATCACATCATAACACTGATTCACTGAATTCTGTCACAAATCTCAAACATAACACCAGAAAAGAACTTTTAGTGATATCATTTGATAATTCTTTACGAGTTTTCACACTCATCGCTTTGATAAACAATATATGATTCATTGTGATAGACACCCCGAAAAAAAAAACAGCCTTGAAAAAGATGATAATTCAGACTGAAATTAAACTTCTTGGTCGCTAAGCAGACCAAAAATCTGTTTTTTGGCGGAAATATTTTTTTAAACCTCAACGATGAAATGCGCGTTACACGTGAAAATGAGCAAACATTTCGCAATAAGAAAGATCAAGCAACGAAAGCAAAAATATGTTACCTGATCACCAATTTCCTGGGTTGGAAATTTTGGTAGAGAAGTGGAAATGAAGCAACGATCATTTGAGGACGAAGGTTGTGCCATTGTGATGGCCGTACTCATTGAATTCCTCGATGAAAGATACCAATTTCTAAAAACGTTCCACTCAAATAATACGCATAAATAACTCACAACACGTTTGTTTGTCTATCGTCAAATAAGGCAGAATTCGTTGGATGTTCACTCGAAGAATGCCTTCAGTTGCATCATCTGAAAATCAACTTCTTGACGGTAATTTTGCTTAAATTTACATGCTGAATTTGCTACGAGACGTTATTGAAGAGAAATGGTCCGATAAAACAAATAAGCGAGTAAACTGCATTCAACACTTCATTGATAACACATTTATGTTCACTCGAACAAACAAACGCGAATTCACGGTCACAACAACACGATTAACGCATCGAACAAGCAAAATGGAGAAATACGATTGTCTCGGTGGAATACGGTTGAAAATAATTACTGAAACGTTGTTTAAAGGAAGGAAAGTTGATTGATAATTGTGATTAGAAACAAAATGACCGATGAATGGATGGTATTCTTAGATATGAACAACGCGACAGAAGGAAGCAGAGAAAAAGCATGAATGGACGATAAAACGTCGAT